TATGAAAAGAAAAGTCTTTAACCAATGTATCCTCCCAGTTATGACCTATGGATCAGAAACATGGACTACAACCAAATTACTGAAGAGGAAACTGATAAGTGCCCAGAGAGGGATGGAGAGGTTGATGCTGGGTATTAGTCTAAGAGATCGGATAAGGGCGACGTATATATATATATATACATATATATATATATATATATATATATATATATATATATATATATATATATATACATATATATATATATATATATATATATATATATATATATATATATATAAATATATGCATATATGTATGTATATATACACATATGTATATATGTGTATATATATATGTGTGTGTGTGTGTGTGTGTGTGTTTGTGTGTACATATATATATATTTTTTATATATTCTTTTCTTTATATATCTTTCTTATTTTTCTTTTTTTTCTTTTTTTTTCTTTCTTTTTTTCTTTTTTTTTTTTTAACAGCCACTCATTCCACTACAGGACATAGGCCTCTCTCAATTCACTATTGAGAGGTTATATGGCAGTGTCACCCCTGCCTGATTGGATGCTCTTCCTAATCAACCGCGGCGGTGATTTCCCATATATATATATATATATATATATATATATATATATATATATATATATATATATATATGTGTGTGTGTGTGTGTGTGTGTGTGTGTGTGTGTGTGTGTGTGTGTGTGTGTGTGTGTGTGTGTATGCGCACACTCATATATATATATATATATATATATATATATATATATATATATATATATATATATATATATATATATATATATAAATATATATATATATATATATAGATATATATATAGATAGATAGATAGATAGATAGATATAGATATAGATATAGATATAGATATAGATATATATAAATATATATATATATATATATATATATATATATATATATATATATATATATATGTGTGTGTGTGTGTGTGTGTGTGTGTGTGTGTGTGTGTGTGTGTGTGTATGTTCGTAAATGAATAAGTGAAGAAAGATAACGGCACGGATTCCCTGCGACGGCCCAGTGCACAAGCCTCCGGGAACCGCACCGAGAGTCAGACGCGCAGGAGGCAGATGCCGCAGGGAAGCCGCGCGTCATGAGATTTCCGCTCAGCACTTGTCGCCGCGTGTGTCTGTCTTGGTTGTATACCTTTGCGAAAATTAATACCTCAGTGTGTGCTCGTGTGTCCTCGAAGTCAATAATGTGCGGTTGTTCCTGAATGTTCGTCATATTAGCGTATCTCTGTGTAAGTACCAGCTGATACCCGTGTATTTGCGTGTGTCTGGCTTGTGTGTGCGCGTGTACGTGTGTGTGTTTACGGTTCTGCGTGTTCTGTGTGCGTAGGTGATTCTCGTGATTTGTTACGCTGTGGCTTTACATGGATCACGGTGACCATAGGCGACAAGGGTTGACAGTCTACACGATCGATGACGCGTTGGAGTGTGAACCCCAGTCCCATCACGTCACCCTTGAGATGTAGGCAGCGCCCGGGGGAGGGAGGCGACTACACACGTCAATACAGCTTTCGACGAATCCCCCATATCACTAGGTCTCTGTTTATGTTTTGTTTACCGAAGTGCACAGCGTTAATGCCATGACCAAACGTAAGTCAACAGAAATAGAGGAGATAAATGGGAAGCGTAAAAGAAGGAGAAGAGTAAAAGCTATTTTCGTCCTCATCAAGAACCTCCGTTAGATTTGCCGGAAGACGTTTCTCTGACGTTTCCTCGTCTCGGCTGAAAACAAGGAAGAGAGGATATGGTCTACGTGAGTCGGAGGATATGGTATGTGGGAAGAAAAGGAGATGGCGAGTTAGGCAGCCAAGATGAAGGGCGGCGAGAGAAATGCGTGGGATTGAGTCTAAAATTGCATGTCCCGGGCGATCGTTTTGGCGAGTTGGAGGTGTGTGTGTGTATTGATTAGCGTGAAAGGCAGCTGTTCACAAAGAGGGTGTCGTTCTGTGAATGAGAGAAGATATAATGACGATCAGACAAAACGATATAGGATGATAAAACATAATATATGACGTTATGTTTATTGGTCCAAAAAAAATAGTACAGAACCGAGATAGTGTTTTTGAATATAGTACTCTTGAACTAAACCTATCCCCTGAAAATTACACGTCAGTTGATTACATAATAACTGGAACAAGCTTTAATCCCAATTATGCGAAAGAAAAAAAATCGTAATGGCTTTGGGAGCGCGATGCTAACCCAATCAAAGAGGAGTGAAAATCGAGGAACAAAAAATGATGAAGCCACTGGAAAAGAGGAGGAAAAATGTATGCTTCAACTTCAGTTATTTGATCATATGACATCCAGAGCTCTGACTGGACGGTGCTATGAATAAACATTGTGATGCTTTCTATTGCTTTATTTCAAATGAAGCGATCATGAAATAGTTTTGGATTATTTGATAGAGATTAATCCTTCGCCATGAATGAAAGATATACATTGGAATGAAAAAAAAAAC